GACTGTTATCCATTGTGGCAGTGAAGGATAGTGCAGGGGTAAAAGGGCTAAAGCAGAGAAGTAAATGATGTTGATGGTGTGGGAGTCCTGAGGATGGGTTAGCAAGAGGAAGAAGCAGCAGACATATGGGCCCCAGTGTTTTGAAAACTCAGCCCTAAACTTGCCAATGCATGCTTAGACCAGAAACAAAATGCCATTTGGGAGAGCTAGAAAGAAAGCCGTAGAGAGAGGAAATCCAAAGTAGCAGTGGCAAAGAATACGCTGGTTAGGGATAAAATTGATTGGGCAATGATATTTTGTTGGTTTGTTTCCCCCAACAAAATAATGTTGACAAACCATACGATGACACCTAAGATTTTTATGTTGAAAACACAAGACATTTTCAAAATAAAGTCTGTTTTGGAAAAAACTAATTGATTCGCTTTAGTGGGGAATCGGTCTTGGCTTGTTGTGATAAATGTACCCTATAAAATAAATTGTCTATCATTGAGAAGATGAGCCAGGTCAGACATGTTTTTATCAATGGAATATTTTAATATTTCCATGTTCATAGAAGAATGTTCTTTGTTTGCTATGCGCACCAGGGGCTCCTTGGCAAGCCTAAACAGAAATGGTCTCTAATATAAATAATTGATTTGCATGTCCTGTGCAGAGCGATGAAGGCTTGAGATGGGGAGTCTTCTGAAGTAAAAGAGGTAAGGGTGAGTGCAGCAAAGAAGGAGCGAAAGACAAGCCCCTTTGGCAAAGTGCAAGCAAAATGATAGTCTGGAAGCCTGCCTTTCCCTTGTAGTCCTGTGCTGTGTATTGATCTCTCTTGGGCACGTGTAGGCCCAGGATTTGCTTTAGGGCTTGAATGTGGTGGCAGCCCCAGGTTGCATGTGGCATTAGCAAGTATACACCATTAGGCTCTTAGGCCCATGCTGAAACCTAATGCTCCAGAGGCAGGCAAAACCCAGATGAGCCCTTTAGCTGTGGTACCTAGCCAGTTGCACAGTCCATTGCAGTATTTGGATTCTTGGTGGAGTCCAGCAGCCCAGTGGCCTCTGTTTGCTTCTTGACACCCACCTTACACTGAAAAATATTCAGGGCAGGGACTTCATTAGGCACCAAGAACAATTGGGACCCATTTTGGACAGTGGCCTCTGGCTACTAGAATCCAAAATAACCATCTTATAAAAAGCCCAAACCTTGTGAGATGTTCTCAAGGTCGCTTGTCTTCTGTAGAGTGCAAAAGAGAAGGCGTTATATAGGCTAGCCTCTGATCTGAGGGTCGAATGTCCCACCTGCTTCCTATTTGACTGCAGCCAAGGGCTGGTCTGCTGTGACTGTTGCTGTGTCCCATGATAGATCATGTGATGAGGTATTTGTGGTAATCTATGAATCTCCTCGCTTCTGAACTATAGCTTTCAACTTTGACTTTCAAAGATTTTAAGTGTATGGCTTTGTAATTTTTATGTTCTAATACATTCATTATTTAAGCTCTAATATTAAAAAGGCATTATTAAAAGCATGCCTTCTGCACAAAGTTTTCACCAGAGAGTTGATAAATAATTGTCTCTTTGTTAAGAGATTTTTGTCCCCTCTGTTTTTGTTGGGAAACTTTCTTGGCCCGGACAGCTGCAAGTTGTGTGGGTTAATTGTCAGTGTCACTGTAAATTTACCGGGTTTTGAAAGATCTGCTGGTGAATATTTCTGTTGTGTCAGTGAGTGTAGGTGTAAGGTTTAGAAACCTCAATTAACTTTAATACATTTTGGCATTGAGCTGCTGAACTTTATAAAGTTCATCTGGAAGCTTCTGGTGTATTTCTTTTTCAGCAGTGAGGGACTCCAAAGTAATCATATACAAAGGAGAAAAGTACTCTTGAATACAAGAGATCTGAAATGTCTAGTGCTTTTGAAATGTGCCTGGAGGGAAAGGTATGTTAGATTCTTCCATAACCAGCTTTCTTAAAGCCTGTCCTGTAAAAACAGCAGGCGTCCTCTCCCCAACATCTTATAGCTGTATCCACTAAACCTGTGCAGAAGGTCAGCCTGTGGTCGATGTCTCACACATGTCTGGGGGAGGGAAGATGATCTTGTGCTCGTAGGTTTTGATGGGGAGTTGGGAGCTCAGCACAGCCCTCGGCTCTCCCACAGGTTTCCTGTATAATCCTGGGGAAGCCAGTCAGGGTGGAATTTGTAAAAGCCTTGGGCAATTTCTGTGTTTCAGGGATGTATTTGGTAGCTGTGTTGGAGATGAAAAGAAATGCAAAACTCTAGAAATCTTGGTTCAGAGATGATACCTTATAGATTCATAGATTCATAGATTTAGGGTCGGAAGGGACCTAGTAGATCTTCTAGCCCG